TCGTCGTAATTCTCTGCAGGACCCATCGTCGTTTCTGTAGTGGCCCCAAATGGCACGGCGCATGGCCCACTAGACATTTATATGAGAAAGAAAGGCATTAGGAGAGAACCGAAAACCCACCACCTGAAATAAAGAGACTTAGCATGCAACCATGCGGTTAGTAAATCGAATTCAGCGTGCCTACAAACGCTGCGCCGGTGCAGCCTACGTTCACTGCGGGACCCGTCGTCGCTTCGGCATTGGTTCCGAGTGACCTCTCTCATGGCTCACTAGGCCTGCCTGACTAAGGCACTCGCAACCGCATGTTGTACAGCACAATGCGCTCGATGTCGATGGAGTACAATTCATCGGTGCTTGCCGCTTCCGCAACTGCCGCTTCTTCTCTGCATGCATGAGGGATTTCTCCCGCACTTCAGCAACTGCCTTCGTGATTAGATCGCGCCATGCACGCCGATCAACCGCCTTCGATTCCCATGATCTGCAATCAAGATTAGAACGTGTGAGGCTCACTTTAATCATGTCCTGGTAACGTAACTTTGGTTTCCCAGCATGCCGCTTCCCAATACTCAGCTGACCGTATAAGAGTTGTTTCGGTATCCGCGTCGAATCCATACGGCTCACATGACCGAGCCATCTCAGGTGTCTCAATAAAAGTATGCAGTCCACTGCATACATCCCACTTCGGCGCAACACTTCCGTGTCTGAAACTCTGGCGCCCCAGCCGATCCGCAAAATTCGTCGCAGACACTGCTGATGGAACCGCTCGAGATATCGCACATCCCGACGGTACATCGTCCACGTTTCACTGCCGTATAGAAGAACGGTCAGTACCATGGATTTGTACACCATCAGCTTCGTGCCAATGCTAAGCTGATGGTTGTTCCACACTCGGTACTCAAGCTTCCCGAATGCCGCTGCCGCCTTCGACACGCGATTACGCAACTCAACGTGTAGCTGCTGATCAGTCGACATCACACTCCCAAGGTAGCAGAAGCGGGAGGTGGTTTCCAATACTTCAGCACCAATGCTGATTTGCGGCAATATTGAAGATTGCACCTCCAGTGAAGGCTGAAAGAGACAGACAGTTTTGCTTGTGTTGATGGTGAGCCCGAATTTGGCCGCTGTCGAAGCCAGAGCACTAGTCATGTGCTGCACCTCATCCGCGCTGTGTGAAAACAACGCATAGTCGTCAGCAAACAGCAACATACGGATAGTTGTCTCACAGACTAGAGTTCTCGCACCGAAACGACGGATGTTCAGCAACCCACCATCAATACGGTGCTCCACACGAACACCGTAAGCACAAGACAACATTGCATGAAGATAGATATTAAACAGGGCAGGAGCTAACACACAGCCTTGCTTCACACCAGAGACAACTGTAAAGTCATCAGAGGTCTCTCCACTCAGCTGCACCCTCGTTCGCATACCACTGTGCAGACATCCAATTAAACTTACAAACTTACGCGGGCAACCAAACGTACCCAACACCAGCCACAGTGCCTCGCGGTTCACCGTATCAAATGCCTTGGTGAAATCAACAAAAAGCGAGTACAAAGGCTGGTGTCGTTCTCCGCACTTCTCTTGCAACTGACGCGCCGCAAACACCATATCTATAGTGCTGCGACCCGAACGGAATCCACATTGCTCTTCCGCCACGTTTGGTTCCACAATCTGACTCACGAGGCGATTGAGCAGGATTCGGGCAATCACCTTGCCCACACAACTCAGCAAGTTGATGCCACGATAATTCGTGCAACATTTCTTGCTACCTTTGCCTTTGTACAGTGGTAGCACAAGGGCATCCTTCAGCTCAGCAGGCACCTCCTCCTCAATCCACACGCGTTGCACCAAGTGGTGCAGCGCAGTCAACAACGCGGGTCCACCGTGTTTCAATACTTCAGGTGGGATCCCGTCACCTCCGGCACATTTGCCGTTTCGCAGCTGAGCAAGTGCTCTCTGCGTCTCATCCAGTCTCGGCGTATCCGCCAGATCCGCCTTCACATCGTGCTGCTTCAGGCCATTCAATGTAGGCCAGTCGATCTCTGAACGGTTGTTCAAGAGACAGTCAAAGTGTTTCCGCCAGACCTGCATTATGTCTGCAGTCTGGGTGCAGGTAGCGCTTGAACTACCATCGATCAGTGTCCTCAGCGGCTCCAATCTCGGTCTATACACCGCCTTCAAGGAGTCAAAGAATTCCTTGTGTTGACGGCGTTCGGCGTAGCATTCCATCTGCTTCGCCTTCTCCGTCCACCATGCATTTTTAATGCGACGGAGCTCTCGGGTCAGTCGCCGTCGAAGTTTGCGAAACTGACTCTTCTTCCCCAAGTCACTGGGGTCTACAACATGTGCAGCAAATGCTGCATTCTTCTCTGACACCAATGCGTCAATCGTCACATTGTTGTCATCAAACCAATCAGGCCGCTTACAGTTTGCGCGCCCGATGGTCTCCTCCGCAGCAGCTGTCACCTGGTCGCGAATGTGGTGCCACAGGTCGCCCACTGTGGCTATACAGTCCACATCACCACACAGGCGTGCAGCCATCACCTTCTCCAGCTCAGTACGTTTCGCCACAGTACCGAGGGAGAGAATGTTAAATTTACGCCGATTCACGGCGGGAGTGCAATACATCGATTTACGAAAATATATGTACAGTTTGGTCCTCACCAACTTGTGATCAGTGCCACACTCAGCTCCACGCAGTACACATGTCATGCGCACTTCACGCATATCACGCTGACGTACGATGACATAGTCGAGCAGGTGAGCGTGACCACTCCGTGGGTGCGTCCAAGTTGCTATATCACTCGCACTCAGTGCAAACCGAGTGTTTGTGATCGTCAGGCCGTGAGTGGCACACAGTGAGAGCAGCCTGTCACCGTTCGCATTCGCTGAACCAATGCCATGCGCACCGATAACATCTGTCCACGCTGATGCATCACGCCCAACGCGCGCGTTGAAATCACCCAGCAGAAATAGTCGGTCGCTCTTCGGCACAGACCGTATCACGGAGGATAGCTCAGTGTAGAACTGATCACGCGTGTCATCAGGATAACACATGGTCGGACCGTACGTGCTTATGAAAGTAGCAAACTTACCTCTTCCGAGTCGTAGGCGAACAGTCATCAGCCGCGCGCTGATGCCCGTTGGTTCACCCACCAGCTTGCCATTCAGGAAGGGTGGGATATTGCAAATCCGACCCATGTTCACGTGGTGCTGAGGCGGCGTTCCCCACCCAGTAGAATGTGTAGCCAGCACCTGCTTCATGTAACTTACCTTGCTCAGCGAGCCGAGTTTCACTGAGCGCCGCAATATCGATGTGATAGCGCGCCAGCTCCATTGCGACCAGTGCAGTGCGTCGCTCCGGGCGCTCGCTGGAGTTCCGGTCCAGTAGTGTGCGCACGTTCCAGCACCCGATGCTGAGTGCTTTGCGTGCAGGCATACGATTGCATTGGTGGGCAATCGCACGCGAGGTGGTCGTTGTGCTTCGGAGGTTTGCTTGAGAGACTCCACCCGGAGCCTTTGGCTCAATAGCCTGACCCACAAGGCAGTGGGTGGTTTGGAGGTTTGCTTGAGAGACTCCACCCGGAGCCTTTGGCTCAATAGCCTGACCCACAAGGCAGTGGGTGGTTTGGAGGTTTGCTTGAGGGACTCCGCCCGGAGCCTTTGGCTCAATAGCCTGACCCACAAGGCAGTGGAGAGCAGATCCAGCTCGGGAATGTGATTGCAGAGACAGATTGGGATCTGCTTGACGGCCGTCACACGCAGCCTTTGAGGTTCTGGAACAGTTATCATATGTTTTGCGACCGTAATTGGATACGCACCTGCGACCACGGCCAGACGCAGGTGGGTTTTTGGCGGGTTTGCACCAATTTGACCAGGGGCTGCCTGGCTTGAGGCGGGCAGTAGCAAACCATTGAACACCCGGAGGTGTCCTCCCACCGTCAGAGACAATGCGTGGCACTCGTGCTCTACGCCAATCGAGCATTGAGAATATCACCCGTAACCTGTTGTCTCACATGGCTAGGTTTTACGGGAAGTGGGCCATCGACCACTTCCTAACCTCCGGAGAGGATGGACTAGGATACTGCCAGGGCGCCCAATCCTGACAGGAGAACGACTCGGGTCCTCAGTCAAAGCCTTCGATTAAATGAACACCCGAAAGGCAGCGGGTCTAGCACATGGTCAGTTAGCTGACTCATGCGGATTGGTGTCCTGGATCTTAGCAGGGAGAAGGGCGAAACCCAACTCCCACCCAGCGGTCGCCACGTGGAGGCGCCCAGGACATGAGACTATGGCGCAGCAGTAGCAGCAGTGGGTAGACCATCTGTCAGGATCTAGCCACCACCAGCCTCAGCGCACCATATATATATATATATATATATATATATATATATATATATATATATATATATATATATATATATCCATTTTGAGTGCCGGAACCCAGCATCAGTGCTTAGCTGCCCCGCAAACGCCTGTGGTTGTATGCGACCTAGCATAGGGAGAATCCAGCCGCAACTGATTGAAACGAATGACCCTTGAGTCACAAGGCGAACGCTTGAACCATTCTGCATGTAGTCGGATAATTGAGTGGACAGAGTTCCTCGGGTCTTCCGGTCGGAGGAGATTAGCTGAAAGTGCGGCACCAGTTTTAGGTCGTAAAGAAACGGCCCGAAAAGCAGCCGCATGGCGACAGAAGTGGACTGCCAAGGGTCGGTAAAAGTCAGGACAACAGGGATTTAGAGTAATGTCTAACTCGGAGAGCGCAATAAGCATTTATAGCGCAGCGCAAAGGCTACGATACATTTCTTGGATCGCCGCAGTTACTGCAACACCCGAAGACCACGAACAAATAGATCACACATCTTTTAGAGACCGAACGATGAGTTCACACTGAAGTGAGCAGTCAGCAAAGTTGTTTAGCCGCCCTGCGTGACCTGTCTGTAGATGGAGACGGTGTGTGGCCATAGAGTCATCACACTGGTTTGGGAAAAGCGTCACACGAGCTATGATTGTATTTGGTGAACAACAATGCAACCAACATAGGAACCTCCACGTTCTAAGGACATGTCACTTAGCATGGGAGACGTTTGCCAGCGCATTCGAGGCAAACCCACGGTTTTCTGCTTAAGACATTCCCTTGGGACACGGCCGGTGGCGTACGGATCCGTTGCATCCCAGAGGACGAGTGCTTTCACCAGTCTGCTAAAAAAGGATGTGTGACATCAGACATAAACGGGCATTAGTTACCCCTTTAAATGCCAAAGTTTCCCAAGAAATTGACCTCATTGTTATGAAGTCACATCTGCCTAACAAATATTGAATCACTTGCTAGCTATATTTTGCGTTGACCGAACGGGTACAACCTGGATGCATCATAGACAGAGAGTAGGTGACGTTGATGGACAGTCTAATGACCTCCAAATAGGGACCGGGGTAGTTGATGAGTTAACGTCAGTAGCAAACATGAGCGAAGCAAAAGAAAGTGAGGGCAAGCGAAGGGAAAAGTGGGAGCTGCATAAGACAAGTTGTACACTGAAAACGAACCTTAAACACTTCCATTCGAATATCGCTTAGATAGCGCGGTTTAGTTGTTTCGTTCCGCTGACCAGCACGGCGTGGAATCCAACCGTTTTTTCGAAGATCCAAAATATCTTCTAACATGAAACGGATGCGGGCTGGCAAAATCAAGGCCTCCGGCGGCCTGGACCTGCAGGATTCTTGAAAGCCGTCTGATTTTAGGTGGCCACGGTCCACAGTTAAACCAATTCCGGAAGTCGCAGCTGCAGCCGCTCGAGTTTGGATTCGCTGGAGTCTCCGGAAATATTGGTCCATCAGATTGCGAGCCTTTGGAGTGTCCAAGAACTTTCCAACAATTTTCAAGAGGAGGCAGAGACATTCAATGTCGGTCGCCAAGGACTCTTCCCCATTTTCCCACTCTGAAAAGAGGAAAAGGAGTCGTAAAATGAGCGGACGGTAAGCGGATACGGTAAGCGAATGGTTAAACAAGGCTGCTGAAACTTCCTAAATCGTATGTGAACGTTTGAAAAATAATACACATACACACACACACACACTATACACGTTAGCTAGGGGTGGGAAACACCTCAGCTACTGTGCCGCAATACGTAAAAGAAAAAGTGAATAAAATGCAACAGGTGCAAGCCAGCTGAGCTACCGGTAACGGATGGGCATTGTTCCGGTAAGCTACCTGCCGGCTACCATGTAGCAGAAAAAATAATTTACTATGTAATATTATAAAATGCTAAATAATGAGATTATGGTTGGAGGGGGAGCCTAAGAGGGATGGGGTGGGACAAAGAAACTCAGATTGCGAAAGTGACACCGTTCTGTGAGTCATATTGGAAGTCTCATATTCTGTTTACTAAAGCCCCAACTGAAAGGGGCTCAGTTTTCACTGTGGTGTCAGATTTAGGGATAACAGTTTCACTGTGGATTCTTGGAACAATAATGTATGTCAATATACTTGTTAAAGCAGTCCGCTTTCGCTGATGGATATAATCTTACTGTTGTAATAACAGTTAGCTGCGAATGAGCAGCTATGACCGCGGTTGATGGGGCGTAGTGTTGTCGGAACAAAAACTGCACCGCACCGAACAGTGCACTGAGCAAACGTCAAGCCACGCGACAAAAGCGACAGCCGACAAAGTGGACTAATAATAACGATAACAAAAGTAATAATAATAATAATAGTAATAATTAGTATATTTCTCCTTATTCCAGAAACTGTCTAGCGGAACAGATCAGTTTGTAAAAATTAACCATGATCTTGCGTGGGTGATATGCGTTTGTGAAATATTAGGGTATACAATTCATGTAATAGCGATATAGTGGGTGGTCGGGACGAAAGCAAGATTTGGAAACGTGGGTGTGTTTTTGTGTTTATGTATGTGCTTGTGGGCATGTGACTTTGAGCCCCTATTGTAATAGCTCAACGATGGAATTTTCCCATGTTCATATGGTCATTATAGTATTCAGGTCAAGGTAACTAGAGCTTGTTACTGAATCTTGCCACACCGTCACATGATCTGAATATGAGCGGCAGTTTACTCCAAATATAGCGTTATCTAACTAGGAAAAAATGTGAGCGAACGCTTATTCTAGCTTCTGGTATATTCAGTACGTAATCTTTGTTACGAAGCCCTCGAGGCGAGCAACGTTGCAGTTCGAGTGTAGAGAGATCAGGATAGGTTCTTTTTTTATAGCAAATGGTTGTAAAGCAGCAGCGAGTTATGTTTAAAACGTTGAAGCCAAAGTGGTTTGCGTTGAAGTTTGTTGCAAAGCCTATCGCGACGAGGCTGGACTTTAACGTGATGAGATGATTTGTGTGCCTCAACAATCCATTGAACTATACTGGATGGTGATTTTTGCACCTTCAGAACCACTCATACCAGATTGGTCAATGGTTAGAAGCCAGACAAACTCAGTATGCTGGTTTGGTTCCCGTCGTTTGCAAGATTCTGGTGTCCATCATTCTTCGCAGGCTCTGCCCAACATGTGAATCCCTACAGCCTGGATTCCGCCCTGGTTGCGGCTGCATCGATCAGATTTTCATACTCCGTCATGTGTAGCAAGAGCCAACGATTGTTGTGTTCCTAGATATCCATGCTGCCTTCGATTCTGTTGACAGGGCTGCGTTGTGTCACTGTCTGTTGTGTAATGGCATTCCCGGGAAGTTCGACTCCGTATTGCGTACTCTGTATAGTCTGACCTATGTATGTATGCTGAGGCTGATGTTGCATTCTTGATGCTTCTTCACCGCAGTTGAGCTAAACCAACTTACACTTAAACTAGGTCTTTTTAAGCTGGCTAAATTTCATTCCGCCTTACTTGGTTTGTTCTGCCTCCCTGAATAATGTTCTATTAACTGGCCACGTTGCTTACACTAATTGCGCTTATCTTCGGTAATTTTGTTGCGTTTGTAGCATTTCAAGTAACTTGTGGACATTTCTTACTTATCACGGATTTGTTGCTAACCAACTTACTTCATATGGTAATTTAGCGAAGAGTTATGCCACCGTATCTGTATGCATTATTGGATTCATCTTATTTCAGCTTGTCGTTTAAAGTGAATGGCTGTTGTTTGATATCCCTGGTATGGTTGCGCTTGATGTGTATGTTGACAAGGTGCCTACCTGTCTATTACCCACTACATCGTTCATACTGGCTCCAGGAGACAGGTGGTCGTTGCTGGAGGGGACGGGGTGCACGGTTCTTGTGGCCGTGTTAGGCTCAAAGAGCGCTTCCATGCACTCAGTGTGGAGCGGACTACGGTCCAGCCACCGCCTTGTGTGCGCTTGATTTCCCAAATACAGCGTGCTTGTGTTTGCTTGTGAAGGAGTGTGGGCCGGCTCCGTTGATGAAACGTGGTTCCCATCCGCATGCCTCCCGGTCTTATTCCTTCGGGTTTACACTGGATATGGGGTATGTGGCTGGAGCTGTGGGTGGTGCAGCGCAAGGCATCCATGGTCCCTCTGTAGGCGCAGGCGTCCTGTGGCTTGCCGCAGTGACAGGCAAATCCGAAACCGGATGCCGCCAACCATGTATAGTCTGCCTATGGAAGCCTTCACCTTCCTTTGTTGTCACCAATGGGGTTCGACAAGAATGCTTTATCTCCCCATCACTCTTCACCTTAGCCACTGCGGATGTCCTCAAAAATGCTCTAGAAGACTTGCTGAACACTGGCGTTGAGTTCCTCCCAGGTAATCAGGTGGTTGATCTGGATTACGCTGATGATATCGTCTTGTTGGGTGAAGGTCCGCCGTCTAACTTGCACTCAACCGCCTGACGATTGAAGCTGCGAAGTATGACATGCACTTTCCCCATCCAAGTGCAAAGCGCTTTTTCAAGGCTAGTAGACACCTTTACCTGCATCCACCATTGATGTGAGACGCTAGTTGTATAAAGTTTTGTCTACCTGGGAAGCTGTATAACTGCTGGTGGGGCTGTTGGAAACCAGATTTCGATGCGCATCTCAAGAGCTCGTTTCGCCTTCTCCAGGCTGCAGCATTTAGGGCGCCGCCATGACATCCGTCTCTCCACCAAAGGGCGGGTTTATAGTGCGACCGTCCGCGCTGTACTGTTGTACGGTTGCGAGACTTGGCCTGCACGTACCAATGACCTGAGCCGACTGTCCGTCTTCAAGAACAGTTGCTTTAGGTTCATCGCCCGTGTGTGGTGGCTGCACAACGTAATCAATGTTGAAGTCAGACAGCGTGTCTTGGGTGGGGGAAGACTCCCTCGAGGCGCTTGTCCCGCTGCGCAAACTACGATGGCTCAGACACGTACTGCGCATGCCCGTTCAGTGTCTTCCGCGTCGGGCCTTGTTCGCGGTGGCTGGGCAGAGCTAGAGGAGACAGTGTGGTGGACAGACTACAACATGGAGACACAGAATGAAAAAGCTGACGAAAACAGCTGGCTTCGGTTGGTTCTTCTCGACTGCCTTGATGGGGTTCTAAGGATGCTGAGTGCCGCTGGGTAGAAATCTTGGGAGTCATGGCTCAAAACCGAACTCAGTGGTGGGCGTGTATCGCCGCTTGTGGTTCCCTTCCCTCACCCAATAAAAAGCACCCAAAAAATCTCAAAAACGGCGTGTGGGAAAATGGACAAAACTTGTGTTTTCCTTTTACTCGAAATTTGTTTTTCTATTCCGCCATGATTCTGATGGCACAAGATTTGTACACAGATTGTGATCAATATATATACAGATAATCTTCGGGCCATCCAGATTGGGGTTTGGAGAATGGCTCCTTACTCCAGAAAACTGACTCGCTGTAGCCCAGCGACAAAACCCAGCTGTCTGGCAGTAAGGCTTTAGAACCAAAGGCTTTGGTTGAGAACCTTAATCGTTTTTTTGTCTAGGCCCGGGCAACTTAACAGTATGCTGCCCGCGCAACTCAACTCCATGAACTTCTCTTCACGTGATTTTCTGATGCTATGGCCGTCGCACAGGGTAATAAACGCGCCCTAGCTGCTGTATCGATAAAGGTGGATAAGGTTTTGAATGCTAAAGCTCACGCCTTGCCGTCTTCGTATTCCTCTTCTCACGCTTTTTCATCCTCATGGTCCCACCCTAACTTCACTTTTACCCCCCTGTTTTAAAACCCCCAATTCTTGGACCCCTCCCATCTTGCTTCAGTAATCACTTATCTTCTAGGTTCAAGTCGCACGCAATCGCAAGGCGTCGCTATAGTCTAGTCGACAAGTCCGTGTTCAACCAAGTGGACAACGTCAGTTCATCCGTTTCTCTTTGGAGTCCTCGAATCTCGCTAAGACTGGCATGACTCAACGTATGCACTTTGCTACAGATTGGCCAGGCAGCACTTGTCCGAACACTAGAGACCCTGTCGGTGGATATTTGGTTTATCGGAATCACGTCGGCAAGATCCAAGCTCCGCGGTTACCCTGCGATCCCCCACATGAGACCTTGGCGGCAGATTCTCACTGCGCCTGTCTGGAGATGACGCAGCATAAAAAGTCGGTCAAGCCGGCGTCAGCATTGGTTTGAGTCCTCGGACTGAAGCTAACCTGATCGACTGGATCCCAGTCAAGAGCCGGAGGTGCGCCGGTAGATTGGTTGGCTCGTTCCAAGCTTGTAGTTGCGCAGGCACAAACGGTGCCAGTTTGTCATTGCGGCCTACGCCCCCACAAACTGTAGCACTGATTCGGTGAAAGATGAATTCTATCACCAACTGTACACGTTCCTCCGTTACAGAAAAAGCACGGATACCCTGGTGCTTGTGATCTGAATGCCCAAGTCGGATAATTGTCCTCTGATGAGCTACATCTGGGGGGCAAACATGGTGTAGGTTCTC